AAGCTAATAGCGATGGCCTCCGACCTAATAGCAGTGGCCTCCAAGCTGATGGCCTCCAACCTAGTAGCTTGCATACCGGGGGTACGAGTGATCCCTCCAACTTCCTGACCTGCCTGGGCCCCTTCAGCCCCAATTCCCAGCGGCCGGACCATTGCCGCGACGATCTGAACGGCTGTCGTGGTCTTACCTCAGTACCACATCGAACGAACTATATAACAATAGCCCGAAACCTCAATTTTTTGTTTTTTGTTTAAAGCAAACATCAGTTTTCAGTGTCTGACACTGAAAAGGAAGCTTTGTGTTGGTTTTCAGTGTTTGAAGCAAAAAGAACAAACACAAAGCAAAACACTGCAGAACTCTGCTTCCCACCACGGCACCGGTCCCGGGTGGCCCTTGGATCAGTGTCAATCGACGCGTTGAGGAGAGCACCTGTTTCGCACCGCACGAGGTGTTTGGTAAAAAGAACGATGGTGAACATCTGTTCCAAGATTGGTGTGTGTGTTGTCTTTTGGAATGCCAAAGCTTGGTCTTGATATGTTTTTTGAAATCCTTTGTGCTATGCATGGTGCTTGTCCTTTTCAGTTTGGAAACGACACCGGGATATGGGGACTCGATGCTCCATGCAAATACCAGAATCTGCAGGGCACATGAGCGAGTTCTCGAGGTCGCAGGAGTTTGACAGAGTTCTTTCCCTGCAGTTGATGGGTTTATCATTCTCAACTGAATGACTTCGTTGCATCATTGCAAATGCAACTTCCTCCAGTGCAAATGGAACACATCGTACTCATAGTATTGAGATTCGCAGATTCGCTCGACCTTCCAACACCTCTACCCGTCAGAAGTGACTTGTCTCCAAGGAGCAGCTCGGCTCAGACCCGTTGTTTGTAGCCCTGTTGTTTGTGGCCAATCAACAATAAGTTCAGAGTCAGAATGAATCACTGGTTCGCAAGTACAAACAGAGTGCAAGATGTTGCACTCACTCATTAAGTCAAGTCATTTGATATGAAGCTATGTGACTTCTGAGGTATTCCAATAAAAACAACACAAACAAGTGAAGAACATCTTGAAATTGCCTTTCACGAAATTCCTATGAATTCCTAGATCCCCCCCAAAAAGTCGGAAACCCAAACCGAAGTGAGAATATTCGAGACCTGAGTTAAGCTTTGATGAAACTTCACCAAGCCACCAAAGAGTCGATTTGACTCTTGTTGAGCAGGTGTGCATAGACGTGTTTCGCCTCGCGACTGACAGCATGGGCCAGGGACATTCCTTAAGAGGAAAGAGAAAGCTGAACTGAATCACCAGGCATCAAACATCATACACACGACATCGTTTACTGTATTGTACACAAGCACTTAGTATATTATGTCATCATGAATTGCCCCGCCATTTTCATAGATGTCCTCGCATGTCACCTTGGATTCACATACCGATGCCGATGCCTATAAATAGGATGGGCTTCCTCGCAATCCTTTGAGGCCTTGATCAGGTTAGGGATTAGTTGAATTATGTTGAATTGTATCGTGCCGTTTGCCCTCCTGAATGGCTGGTTTCACGATCTACGGACAGCATCCCTTCACTTCAAGCCCTTGACCCTCAAGTGGTTTCAGTGGTTTCATAGTAGATGGCACAACCCCCAAGTTTTGTGGTTTATCTTGACCCCTATCTAGAAGACATCTTGGGGTGCCACGTGCCATCTACACACCCTTAAACGACTATAATTGGTACAGGCAGCGGTTCGAATCCTTGTGAAACCGCCGACTGGTCCGGCCCGGTGAGGTCCAGCCGAGGCAGGCAAAAAGCATATCAGCCACTCCGACTCACAAACATCCATGTGTTTTTTTGTAGAAGAACCATGGTCTTTCAGAGAAACATGCCATCCCACTGAACCGTGTGAGATACATGCCATCCCACCGAACTTGATTTTTGTAGAGGAACCATGGTCTTTCAGAGAAACATGCCATCCCAGAACCATGTGATGTGTTGGTCATGGGGCGTATACCTGGAACGTTCCTGGCTGCGCCCCATTTCTTGAAGCAGCCAGCGTTGGATTCTGGAAGAATGTGGGAGAATGTGAATCGAGCATAGTAGGGTAGTATAGTCTATCCAAGAATATCTTGGATTGCAGGATGCTGATTTGGCCACATTGATCATATCTGTGGATTCAGGGGCGTGCTGAGAACACGCTTCTACTTGCAGTGTAGTAGCCAAAGGGTCATCCGATCTATATATCTTTGTAATATATATATATATATATATGTATGCTCAAAAACATAGGCTGTGTAGATTAGGACACATGCTGCCACTGCAGGTTCTTGGGATGCAAGGCTAACCAGGCTCACCACGCTGCTACTTGCAGGTCTCTGGCCTCCTGCTGAAAGGCGCTCAGCCCTTCCATCTTCCTTGGCAAGCTGGACGGCTGGCCAAGGTGAGAGAACAACTTCAAAGGGAGGTCTATCGGACCAAGGAAGTTGTTGGACCAAGGGAGGTCTATTGGACAGTCTGTTTGGCCAAGGTGCACATATTGGACCAAACATAGGATCTAGAACAAACAGGTGAACAGGGTCTTAATCAGTCTGCGAAGAGATTGATTGGAATTCACTGATCTATACAAGATTTCTCGATGATCCGGATTTATGTGACTTTTTCTATAGGACTGTAGCTCTGAGCGATGAATCGATGAACTTGTGATTTCAACACCCGCGAGGAACAAATAATCTCTACATCCAGTAAATCAAATTCTCAAAGGAGACTGGATGTAGATCCAACATGTTCTCCCACTTCCACTCAACAGCCTCCTAAACAAGGACGCTACTAGTAACAAGTGCATCGCTTCTAGTAACAAGTGCCTTACTAGTAGTATCAAGGACGCTACTAGTAACAAGTGCATCAAATCTTTTCCACCCGACCACGGAGACCATCCACTTCTGTCGCTCTCCCGCGTCCAGACCGCCGTTCGACGATACCCCGCGGTCGACGAGTGTCTGTTTGCTCCCACTGAAGTCCACGGACTCTAAGGGCAGGTGTTGAAGATTCGCCTCGACGAGCGGAGTGACAGTGATCAAACATTACCCTTGTGGTCAGCCTTAGAACGACACAACAATATGATATATCCATGAGTGTTTAATATATATTATATATAGTAATCATACAAAGCGGGTGGAGCTATTGATGATTGTAAATATATCTGCTGCCATGTGGACACATGCAGCATTTTGCACAGCGAAACAAGCCTTCCTTCCGGGAGTCCATGGAGCAAAGCGATCCTTTGGGCCCCTTGGTCTTCATCCAAGGCTGCCCCCACCGCCCATCTGCAGTGCCCATCGGGGGCCCATCGGTCTTCTGTTACAAAGCACTGCAGAAAGCGATTTCTCACGACCCCACAGACACGCCCAACAGAAAACAACAGCTATCCCGCGCAACAGGCATGGCGATCGCGCACGCAGTTCACGAGAAGCGCCTGCTTCAGCGTTTTGTCCACGGGGTTGCAAATCAACTTCCTGGGAGCAAATGTCCGCCCCTCCTTGGTCCCCTAATGCCTTTCAACTTTAGCTTTCACATTCACATTCCAACATACACACTGTAGAAAGCCAATCATGTTGTTTGTACAAAAGTCCTGGGGCGATTGAGATGGTTACACAACTTACACACATTTTCCTAACTACCTGATTCTACGACGTTCTGCCGAGCGTCCAAACAAGTCCCTAATTGCCAAACAGCATGTAGCCCATTAATCTACAGTATGTTTGAAAATATAAACATCATCAACAACAACAACAACAATATGCATGTGAAAAAAAAACAAAATGAAAGCCAAAAGAAACACCTCTACAATGTCACCAGGGAACAAATTACTTGTGAAGTGGTGTTTGCATTGGGGCAGCAAACATGATCCAAACCTACAAACCTCCAAGTACAGGTAGTGTGGCCTTTCAGTCTTTGAGCTGTAGAAGGCCCCTGTGCATCCCAGCGGCCGTAGAACTTCATGCGGAATCATTGGAGAAGGATCTACTACCTCAATGCATGCTGTTCTGGAATGGAGTTCCCCTCCAAAATCTTCTCTTGGGACAATCTTCTGGGAACAATATGAAAAAAAACACCTGGGATGGTCAAAACCTGGGCAGCTTTCCTTTGGATCAACTCTCCATTGGACCGGTGGTACAGAACAACGAGATTTGGACGAAACCCGGGCAGCCACGAGTGGATTTGGACGAAAAGGCCAGATCTGAAGATTAAAAACTATATATATATATATAATATATTGTATAAGCTATATCACCCACATGATCTGGCAGTCCCCAATGTTGATGTGTCATGGCTTCAAAGGGTGATGATGTGTCATGGCCTCAGGATTCACACACTGAGGGTTGCCATGGTTCCAGCAGAGGAGGCTTTTGTGACCTCAGTATCTGTGGACACCAATCACAGCAGCATCTGTGGCTATACGATACTTAGCTTTGTTTGCGCATACTGATTCACCCACACTTTACCTAGCTAACCGCCAACCAGGTTGGATACTATAAATAATAGCTTTGTCTGAGTCACCTACCCCTCCGTTAGCCCAAGGTCTGAGCTACAAATGAAGAGTGAATCCACAGTCAGCCCCCGCACTGTACACACCGATGGCTTCATCACGTCTGAGGTAGCCGAAAGTCAAAGGTCCCCGGGCTTCTCTGAGAAAAGAACACCGTGCAGAAAATCCTGTGGTTGAAAACGGGAAAGGGATGATGAACATCTTCACCAGAAAGTTTGCCTGATACAATGATACAAGACGGACAAATTCGTCTGCGTAGGATTTCGTCGACCAGGCTGAAGAGCAGAGTCCGTTGAATGCTCAGGGGCTGGATTTTTCAGAATCACCTTCAGGGCATCAAGCATCCTGAGATGGCATGCCGGCTCCAAGCATGGGCTGAGCAGTCTGACACAAGGACGTATATATATATATATATATATATTTATTTATTGTGGTTAATATATAACTAGAACCTGAGTGACCCCTGTTCGGGAGCTAAACATTTAAACATGTGTTTCTATCAAAAAATACAAACGGGTTCAAACTTTACATAAGATGGACCCAGCCCACTTCCAGTCACAGCTAGGTAAATCAGATGTTTAATACTTTTGTTGGCAGCCAACCCTGCCAAATGCATTGGAGCGGGATGGGCCAGGGTGATTGTGATGATGAATGCAGCTGATCCAAGCTGGGCACCTTGTCCAGACATTCCAAGAACCAAGGCTCTATGGAACCGTTTCAGAACTGAACAAGTGTCTTGCAAGCAAAACTGTCCACTCAATTCCAGGCAAACCTGTGTTCTGATTGTCTTGGAAAGCAGGGCTTCCAGTTCGAGATTCCAGTTTTGTGCGTGTTCTCACAAGTACGCCAATCCACTGCCAAAGGCACCTCGCTAGCTGATAAGAGAACAACATGAATGGACATTGGCTGTCCAGTGATGAATGACACTACAGGAGAACAACAATCCTTATAAGGTTCCTACATTCATGCCCCGTGTGCCAACGGCAAACTCCATGTGTCTCATGCTTCTCTTCTGAAAGAAAATGCCGCCAGGTCGTTCAGGTCCGGTCCTTTGGATCATTCAGACGTCGGATCTTCCAAGCCGCAAGCCATATATAGCTCCTTAAAAAAAAAAAAAAACACACACACATCCTCAGAATGGTCTCCACTCCACCACGCCACCACTGGATGCCACGAATTCCACCACCACTTGCCACCGTCCAAAAAGGTCTAGCCAGGTCGCCGTCGGGTCTGATCGGTGCTCGCCAAGCGGTCTAAGCGGTAGATATAGCCCTCCGCAAAATTCACCTGGCGACGTCCGACGTGAAACGGACAGCGACCTCCCTCCATCGAGTGAACAAGACATCGACGTAACAGGGATTCGGATTGGATGGCCAAACATGAGAGATTGAAGCCTAAGTGTGGTCTGATGACGGACATGGTCGAAGGACGCCGACTTCTACATTCGACTACATGAACAATGACAACACGTCTACAAGATTCAGAGCATGTGTCTGCTCACATTCGACTGAACCCACCATAATCTCTGATGTTTTCTCAAAGGAAGTCTCTTCGCCTTTGCACCTGGCAAGACTAGAAGAGTCCGTAGTGTCACATTCATCACAGCCAAAAAACTTCCAAACTAGTCCTCCAGGTCTGGAAACGTGCTGTGCTTGACGCCCCCTACCATTGGTTTATCATCCAATATCATGCAATATATAATAGCCGATTAGCCATCCTTTGGGTGGTGCTGGCCGGTTGTCGTCGTCGTTGTTGTTGCTGCTGCTTTCTTTATTGGTATTCTACTCCTACAATCTCAAGCGCTGGAAATATACCTCTAACTTGTAACTTTAGAGACTACATGCGCCAGCTCAATGGGGAATGAGGTGGACTTTATGATTACACTCTGACCCACTAACATGGAAGTGGAAAATAGGCCACGGGAAGACTGTTTTCCTCTACAAACAGGGGGTGTCCATGTCCATGTTGGTGAGCGGGAGTGTACATGATAAAACTTTGCGATACTTTGTGGATGTTTTGAAAGGGTGTCCTTTCTCCTTGGATGAAGTCCATGACCAATTATTGTGTCAGTTACCAGTCGAAGGTTGACCTGTGGCGCACGGTCGCTGCATTGATGCAAAAGGCCTGACATTTCACACGTCGTCCTCACAACCGGTGGGAGCTCCACGGAGCTCCACACGTCAAGACTCGAGTCAGGGCGCTTTTCCGGCGCCAGTCAATCGTCGGACTCGTCGAGTCGGACGAGACGAGTGGAACCCGGCTTCGACGGAAAGACTCGTTTGTCCGGCTTCGACTGTTCGTCGCCGGAGCAAGCCTTGGGAGGCGATGTGAGCTTTACGCCCAAGGGGGCTGTCTTATCTGGCTGAGTCCTCGGAGGTGGACGTGGACGGTGATGTCAGGATTTGTGGCAAGTGACGATTCAATGATTCAATTATTATATACATGAGATTATTTATATATCATGGCCCAACCTTACATGCTGGGATTGTATCATGTGTTCACAATCTCCAGGGTATCGCAACCAACGCAAAAGCTTCCATCTCTACGATAGCAGGATCAGTAACAAATGAATCAACTCCTTAAAGCAACACGTTTAATGTCATCAAACTGTTGTGCATATGGACGTAATTATAAGCCTGATAACAATATCTTATATAGCTAAATTTGGAAAGCACGCTGACCACCCAAACCCTGGGGACTTTCAGGAAGCCCGGCACCACCGCTTCCCAAACTTCGTCCCCAAATTGCTGCTTCTAACGCTGAGTCGACCCCAGGCACGCGGAGTTGATGACTTCCACCTCGGCCCCGTCACGGATGCGGTCGTAGTCATTGGGCACCAACTTGGCCATCTCTGGATGGGAGATGTCGATACCTTGGAGGCCGGACGCCGAAGAAACGACGACGCCGGTGTGAGACACCATGACTCTGGATGGAGAAAACCACTTCCAACACAGGTTGAAGAACCCTATAGACCAGCCCATAGGTACACTAGTAGGGTCCTATACAATCACTCAGCCTCTCTTGGTTGGAATAGCCTGGCCATGCCTGGTTGGTCGTTCTCAGAAGTCGCAAAAGCAGCCATCAAGTGGTCCCTAGTTCTACGCAGAGTCCATGAAGGTACGTCTCTGGGGCGCTCCGTGGTACGTGTCCTCAAAGACAAGTCAATACAAGTCACCAAAATAAAGGAAGAGGAGTTGATGGGGCTATGGTTCGGATTGCTTTCAAGAAAGGTGCTCGGATGTGAGCACACCGTAGGTTCCGAATAGAAAGAAGCTTTTAGTGCAACAAAAATCCCAGAAGACTGTGGGTGAACGCTCCATCTGCGCACCTCAAAGTGAACAATTTCGAAATTGTGAGACTCAGTTTTTTAGGCATTTGTTGTTTTTCGATGTTGGTCATATATGTCATATATGGGATCATGCCTTCGTTGATTTGAGAGCACATGGATGCTTGTTTGATCTTGTTTCACTGCCAGTGCTTGAGGGTGTCTGCTGAACTTCACTTGTGACACTTGGACGGCGCGCAGCATTTCTCCAAAGGTCTACCGCGCGGAAATTCGCGGCCCTTTCTACCTTTCTACCAGTGCATTCGTCGCTCAGACAGGATCTTTTGGTCCTCCGAGCAAAAGACGTCCCCACACCTTCAGGTGGGAAAAGGGGAGATTCAAGAGATCAAGAGACAGTGCTTCAGGGCGTCCCCAGAAGCCCAGATGAAACGCCCAAGGCTTCAAGAACCACAACGTTCTGCCAAATGAGGCTAGCCGTGAAGTTCCATGTAGAATCCCTTCTGAGAAAGCAACTGCCAGTGGGGTGCGTGTGGTGGGCCCCTGCAAACACATCATGCTGAAACACTTGATTCAAGATCTGGCTGGCACTCAAACTGTATCTCCTTCCGGACAAAATGCCCGGAATACTTATGTGTTTCTTGTACATAAACATACTGTAATATACACACCATTGTAAAGCCCGTCATTGCATGCCTCAAATGACCTGAAAACTGGAGTCGAATCAACACTGGATAGGTGAGCATGTTGTTAATGCAACACCCGTCATGATCATGCAAACGTTCAGTGCAAAGCTCCTGAGGATTGAACTGCTTGACATGTACTAGTGAATACGCAAGTAGGCAATGAATACCGAAGAATGTGTAACATATTCAGTATGCAAATTCAGATATCAAATATCTACGCAAATTTACACATTACAAAATCAATGTTCCTGGTATTTCCTGGTGCATTGCTCCCCAGTATTCCAACTTGAGGATGACCCTACGTGCTACACCCAAGTTTCCTTGAGTCAAAACCCAGCCAAATCCTATGAAACGCACAAGGACATCGCGGAAGCTCCGTCGCGGTCCGCGGCACCGTGGCAACCTCACTACTTCGCGAGGATGGCCAAGGCCTTCTCTCCCATCAAATCGCCCATCTTCTTCGCCTCGGCCGCCGGATGACTCCTCGAAACCTCGAGGAGTTGACGCCCCCCCTGTTTTGGAGGGGAGCTCCAAGCAACGGGAGATCCACGACCATCTTTCGTTGCTCTCCTTGTCAACTGAGACACAAAAGTAGGGATGAAAAGGGTTCTGATGATGGTGACTTTAGCAGGTTACTTTGCTTCTGTGGTCCCTCGGCATGTCTGCAGCAGTTGGTCTCAGCTGGTTCCTGGTGGTCTCTGCAGGTGACCGGATATCCGAGCGGATATCGCCGCTCGCAGGTCTGGGGGGATTCATGGCAGGTGCTGCAAGCACTGATGGGGAACACATCTGAATCTGAATGAACCCATATGAAGCCCCGAACACGTTCATCTTCACGATGCTCTTCGGGATCCAAATGAATTACCCAAAGTCAAACCTCATCCTAATCTGGAGCATGCATGGCATCTCCGTAGACGGCTGTACATCTTTGCATGTTACGCACTTGACTCCAAGCGTCTGAAAGGAAGACACATCAACGCCCCGAAGCACAGTGCAAATCCAAGCATTGTACTACGGGCCTGGTGATAATTGATGTATATAATCCAACCATAAATATTATACATATGATCATATATTATGTAATTTGTAAGAAGCTTTGCAAATGGGGTGGAGTTATTAATCAAAATGCCACAACACATCTTGACCTTCATCCAGTCTCCAACCTTCTATCCCTTCAGTCCTTTCTTAAAAAACCCGGCCTCGGCCTTGTCTTCCTCAGAGATGTCATCCCAGCTGGCATTGGGAGTATCGTCCTGTCGTGGCGACGTGGCGCACGCGGGGCGTGAAAATGGGTATAAGAAGACCAGCTGTGACACTCCCGATCCCAATGAAGTTGGGACACTGTTCTTCACCCTCAGCCAGTCCTTGCAATAGGCCGCCAAGCAACGAGAGATTCCGACCTGGGCACCAACGAGTGAGAGATTCCGACCGATTCCGAGACGCTGCAGAAACAAACAAACGATTCGAGCCGCACACCAACCTGGACCACGGGGCAAACCTCTTCGGCAAGACTTTGGATTAAAAAGGTGAGAGAGATTGCTCCGTTCGTTGCGATGCCCTTTGTTCCTACCGTCCGATCGCTCCGATCGCAGTAATGCCAGGAGCGCCCCTAGTAGCTTCTTGCTCCGTTCGTAGCGACATGTATGGATTTACCCAAGACCAGGGAGTGCAAGCATCTTCTACGGACGAACGTGTTGTGAAGGCCCCTTTCCATCCAAAAACAGGCACACAAAACCCAAGAGATCATATATGTGCGACGGCATTTATTTGGTACTTGGCTCAAATACACTATCTCTTATGTGGGGGCCGTGGGGGCCCTATCTCGTTTAGACTACTTAAGCAGGAGGTCATGTCACAGTATCTCACTCAAACTACTTTAGTCGCAAATCACACTATCTCGTTCAGACTGCTTTATATAGTGACATCAAACAAAAGTATCTCGTTTATGTGGGGGCCCTATCTCGTTCACAAGCGAATACTGATGATAGACAAGCAAATAGAGCATGCCGTAGACTACTATTTAGTAATGCCTAAATAAAAGTGGTTGCTCATATTGAACATATGGTACCTTCCCTCCAACCAAAGCCCTTCAGTGGACGGACCATCCCCTGTTGGCTCTATGCGGAACCATGATGGTTCCCATGGTCTGTCTTTCGGGGCAAGGAGGGTCCTGTCCTTCCGTTGGAGGGAGGGATGACTCCGTCAAAACCGGACGAACGAGCGGTCAGGTGACGCAAGAGCAGTTGAACTCGCCCACAATCCATTTCCTCAGGCGTGCTGTGGGTCTAAAACGTCTGCATGGAGCAAAACACAAAGCACATAGGCCATACAGAATCCCTCAATTGAATTGAGTAGTATCAATGAGTGTGTTTGCAAGTCCATGTAGTGGTCTTCAGTAGAGCCTCACTCCAGGCATGGTAAAGCAGCTACCGGCTTGGTCCAACAGAATTGAACATAATCTGCCTGTGCAGCGGGGATGGACAACTGAAGATTATGTGCCGTAACGAGCGCATCTCGCGTCATCCAGAATGGTGGCAGAATGTACAGTAGAAGGTCCATCTGTGTGATATGTGAGAAGTCTATGATAACTCCTCCGTGCTTGCTTCTCTAAACCTCATATTCCCTGGAATTCGAGCCACAATTGTTTTGTTTAGTATATATTGTTCCAAAAAGGGTTTTAGAATGTTTTAAACTACAACGTCAGGATACGCCAGGTTGACCTGTTGTATATGATATCTTTGAACGCTAGAGCCGCTAGGGTAATTCTTGCTGTAAGGTTAAGCTACTACATCATGGAAACTCCCCTGGACGATCCCAATCAGTAAGTAAGCAACAAACATCTTGCACATCTTGGCCCCCCCAAAGGACAGCATAACACAGCTTGAAACAGTGATAAAACAAGCACTGAACAACAGTTGAAGCACGTTGAACCAACACCACCCATGCCACCGTGTTGTCTTCCCAGCCGTCCACCGTCTGAGTTTCACGCCGCTCCCCGCAGTGTTTGTCATGCTTAGCTTGAGCGACTCCTCCTCAGCAGCGGTGCCCGGTGGCGAGGCATTGATGAAGTCGGTGGTCCACCAGAGCGGCAAGGGCTCATCGGCCAAGTCCAATGAAGGCATCACATGGGGCAAGTCCTCCCACGCCACGGGTGTCGCGGGCCCCGAAACCGCGGTCAACGGCCAAGACACCGCGGGTCAAACGGCGCGAACGGTTTTGGTCGGGGATGGTGAGGGGTTTTCAATAGATCGCAGAACCGAGGCATGCACGATATGATGAAAGCACCAAAGGAAGAGGAACAAAGCAATGAACCTGCCATCGGTGTTGGTGGAACCCAGTCATGTATTTGCGACCTGAAGCATTCCACCTGCCACCTGGCAGTGGTTCAACCACAAATTGACCAGAAGCGCACTCTACCAACAGGCCCCCCCAAGTGGCAAAGCAAAAGAATCCTCCAAGCCACTCTGGAAGGAGACATGCTTGTGGAGTGCACCTGCAGATAGTCTCAACAGCTTTTCTAGTACTACTGTACCATGTGTCTGGATTATGCTTCTCCAAGCTCTGTCCTTCTTCAAGAAGTTCTCAGTGAGGCTCTTGAACAGTGGTTCCTCCGGGCCATAGAAGGTGTAGATCTCGGTGGTCGCCGTATCATTAAAAAACACTCGCCGGCAGACTTGCCAAATCCAGGTCGAGGATGTTGTTTCCTTCTCAGAGAAGGCACGGAGAGGCCAAAAGCATCCTACCCCCCACGCCCCCATATCTTGAGAACGAGAACCCTTCGCTACGCATTTGGGGAAGCAAAAACATACAACAACAACATTGCGATGATTGGCTCTGATAGTTGTTCTTCAAAGATCCAGTGTGTCCAAGCATACCATTGTAAGAGTCTCGTTTAGCAAACCGCTGGCGTGGCATTCCAAGAGACACTTGAAAGCTCACACAAGAACCCCAAATCCCTGTGTCCGTTCTGGGTAAGAGGTAAACATAGTGGGAGGATATCCTACCAGGACCCTCACGGGGTGGTTCATGGACACCCCTTAACGGCTAAGGGGTTATACATAGACACCCCTTAAAGGGTCCTGGTAGATTCAATTCTTCCATCCTATGCACATACGGTCGCGTGCCAATCCGGTCACCGAGACGGCCGCATCGGCGGCCACCGCCCGCGCGCGTGGCGGGAAACAGCAAAGACCTCAGAGGCGATGACCCCCAGGAAAGGTTTGGAACATACAGTAGGTAAACCAGCTTACCCAGCCAGGGGTCAGTGGGTCTCCCTGCTATACACCTGGCCATGTCATGTCACACGTTTCTTCCGCAGAATGGACAAAATCTCCTCGCCTCCCACGGCAGAGATGCCTCCCTCCTTGGGCTTCTTGTGGATGACGCCAATCAAAGAGTCGCCGATGAGGTTGTAGCGAAGCTCGCCTGTCATCCAGTTCGTGGGGACGAACCAAGGGACACACACACACAAAACTTGGTGCCTTGTGAGTGCTGGGATGTTCACACCATGAAGCTTTGAAGGCAGTCAAAACAAAGCGTGGCAGTCGAAGAGCTCGTCCGAAACCACTACGTCACTACGTCAATGTGAATGGAACATCGTCAACCTCAACCACTCGGTTCGGCGGCCCACGGCCTTTCGCCACGTCGAAAAGGGCTTTGGCCACGTGCTCTGTTTTATGGGGAATGAGACCATCCAGTTCTGCTCTGATCCACTGGGGTGCTGCCTCCCCATTCTCCCAGTCGCATCCTTGAGACCGACATATATATAAATTATTCCAAGCAAAACAAGCTTACAGTAAGTAAGATAGATACAAATATGGTCGCTCGGCGATCAACAAAGCCGATGAATGCATGACAGTTGTTTGGCTTCACAAAATACAAAGAACGACAATTCCTCAAATCGTAATCACCCAACGACCCGGCAAAAGAAGTGGCCAATAGAAAGCAGTACAGTACAATGTCGTGGCGAAACTCCTCCATTGATATCCGCCCGTCCGCGAGTGATACTTATGCTTAATTCCGGTCAACAAATTTCCATGCACTGCACCTACCTCATAGTGACACAGCGCATAGTCATCTTGCGTTGCATCTCTGGATGTCCTAATGTTCTCTAATTCTCTCTCCGTCAAACTGGAGAGACTCTATGAACAAAAAAAGTAAAAGAAGTGAAGCTTCCTGCAAGGCCGAACTTCCTTTCTTGATGTGTCACGCAAGTCCAACAATGTTGGTGGTGAACCCTTTGGCTCCGCATCAGATAGATCTCAACCCTTTGCATCCAACCCCCACCTTCACCCCAGCACAAACACCAATTCGCTTCGCCGCATAAGGCATTTCTTCGGCCTTCCACAATGCGAGGGCAAAAGCGCTGATCCACCAATTGGCCACCTGCCTCCTTGCCACCCTCCAAGTACTTGCCTCAATTTGTCTTGCCAGAAATTCCTTTTTGGACCACACAGGCCGGGTATCAACACACGACCCCAACAAAGCAGCTCAATGTTAAACTGGATCACTGAGTTTGACGCGTGGCTGAATCGTTCAGAAGTGAATGCTTGCAGAAGTTGCCACCTGTTTTCACCACCACGCCATCGCCCCTGTCTTCAACCCCCGTTTTGGTCGCGCACTCATGCACTCTGCTCCAAGTGGCCCACGCCCTTGGAGGTCCATTCGCCCGACTTGTCGTTGCGGCCATTGACGCAGAACCTGCGGCGCCGCGGCGGCGCGACGTTGGGCGGCATGGGACGCGGACTCGCCCAAGCAACGGAGTCCATGGAGTGTGTTGGGACGATGGTTGGGCATCCGACGTTCCCGTTGGAATCTGTTTCTTCTCTATAGGAAAGAACAACTGAAAGAAAACGTGATCTAGTCATTGGCTGATTGAGCGCAGCCCATCAAAAGGCTTCGTGGGGCTTCAAAGAACATTCGGACGCACGAGCAGGTGCAGGGGTCCCAAAACACCTACCATTTGGTCAAGAATTACAGTAGGGAGGAAGCAAAAGGAGGCCGAAAGAAACATCCCATGCCTTCTGTGCAAAAAATGATTCTAAGCCCGCCCCCACCTTAAAAAAAAGAACGCCCGTAACAAGTGCATACGGCGGTGTTTTCAGCTCAGAAACTCGATGAACTCAGCGACCGTGTGCTCCTGCGAAGCGTGGAAGCGTGGTTGCGTGCTCATCTCCCAGCTGAGACGAAACGGGCCTGACATGACTTAGCTGCCTCAACTGAATCCACGGCCCAGGTGAAGGAGGCACCTGGGTAACTCTAAGAGTTGCAGTTTTGGGGGTGACCCACATGAACATTGAGTTTTACGGAGTCATGTAAGGTGTTGTAAGGTTGAGAGGAACAATAGAACATAAAACATGGAACTCGACAAAACACAAGCAACAAATAAGCTTCCGCTGATCTATATATATAGACTATGGGACTGTCCTAAAATATCGTAATGACTCCAATGTAACCCAGCAGCAAGTGTTCGTCTATAGCTAATGGAACAGCTTTTGGGAGAGCGGCAAAGTAGTTTTCAACACCAGTTCGAGGTTATCAAGAGGCCAATCCACCAACTAGCCCGATGCATGTTATTCTATGCAACATCTCCTGATTTCTGAGATCAGCCTGTGCAGTCTCCTACAACATCCAGCAAAAGGGTGTATACTAGTGTATACAGTACATTTAATGATTGCCTTCTATGGGAAAACCGGTAGAAATCACATGACCAAAGACCTCGTTGATTGCAACACACTGCCAAAAACCTCCCCAGTGCTGGGTCCATGTTTTGAAACATCACAGCTTCACAGATCTTCACAGATTTAGCAAGTTTACGAGTCCTGACCTTCGTGAGGATCCCTGCCCGTCCTCCTCGTGGTTGTCGTTAGCCTCCATGAGAATCAGCTTCTCAGAGTCCTTGTTGGTGGGGAGTGCTGAAGGTGACCCACCGAACGGCTTCTGGCCAATCACTAGTCTTGTGACTTCTTACAAGGTACCAAATAGTTGATTGTCATGCGCACTTGGCTGTGCAAACCCAGCAACTCAACCTCTGAGCTTTTGGACCAAAAGAATTGAACTCAGTTCCATGGTCAACTATGCGGATATATTATATGGATTATATCCCATGATCCGTAAAACAGCCAGCATGACCTCAGTCTGACGCTTTACTGCCAGCTGAATGAGTTGATATATATATATATATATACACTCCCTAGAACTAACATGGAAGTGGAAAACCACCTCTTTGTAGTGGATTTCATGGTCTTCCTTTCGGGGTCATTCTCCACTTCCATGTTAGTTCCAGGGAGTGTACACTGCCAGATAGTTGACATTCCTTCCAAAGAAACCCTCCGTCCTTTTAATTGCCCAACTTCGTCGCATGAGCGACGATGAAAACGAATGAGCCGCCTGAACACTGCGCATCGACCTCACTTCGTCATGAATGAGGGACACCCCGACCAAACCAGACCCCTCAAATCTGGGCATCAAATGCTCAGAACCCAACACTATATATGTTTTTTTCCACACGAAACCTGTCCTCGCACGACCTCTCGCCGTACTCCTTGCAGTAGTTCTCATCCTTCCTTGCAGCATTGGCGGCAATGCGTTCAGAGAGGGACATGATACGAGGCCCACGAGGGTCGTGTAGGGCGACGGTGTTCGGCCATCCGTGGTGACAGTTTCGTAGGTACCGTTGGTTCTGCGACGACTGACAAAATGACTCGCGATTCTTGGGACAAGAGGCAAAGGCAAAGGTATCGAAAAGAGTATTAAAAAAAGTAGAATCACGAACGAATTGACAGTATAATCGTAATCCATATATAATTTATACTTAATTTATTCATTCATAACTGCAACATGATACGCAAGGCCCCACATGAACTACCATTAAAAAAATAAACATGTTACTTACTGTAGAAACTCAGTTTACTGCAATCACCTTGGGCCAGCGAACACTTGCCAGAATTGCCTGTACCAAATGAGTTTTCAAGTGCATGTAAAGGGTTAATTAAAACTTCCCCCCATACATGAAGGGGTTGGGGAACATTTATCAATATCAAGAGTCTAGATACTTTCCTGGTAGGAACCGTAGGGGGCTGGTCAATGCGAAAACTCCCAGCAATCGCCGGCACAAAAACACTGACCAACCAATGCGACATGTTCCTGTCGAAACCGATGTGGCTCAAGTGGATTTGGTGACTTCTCAACTACTGTTGTACTTGAAACCGATGAGTATGGGAATGCAGCACACCCAGAAAAACAACCCTGCTCTCCTACGGCCAACATTAGATCCGGCAAATACTACATAAATGTGTACATAAAATGCAACATATTGTAATTTTATATAACTTTATGTTGTACAAATAATGGAAGCAAATACACGGCCCATAAGTGGTACATGAGGCAAGGTCTTTATTTGTGTGAAGCTGTGGAACACTTGTGACATCCCATTGACCCCCATTATAAACCTCTAGCTGAGCGGCAGCTTGATGATCCAAATTCCTTCGCCGGAAGAGCCGCGATTCTGCTTGATCACCCGCGGCTGGAAGGCCATGGTCTTCCTTTTTGGCGTGGCCAACAGAAACAAAAAAGCTATCTTTGCAAAGTGACACATGTCCCCACGCATCCAATTTGTCTGAAAGCAAGCAACTACCAGTGTTCAGCATCCCAAAATGGGTTCGACCCAAGCGTCTTGAAACCGGCAGCGAACTCATCGGGTGAGTAATAGGCCAAGGTATCCTCCAAGCCGATGTTCATGGTGGCAACTTTGCACAAAGCGTCCTGCAAGAATGAGGGGATGGTCAGCAAAAACATGTGTTTGTTACTTATCGGGTGGTGACTACAGCTGCGGGTGGTTACACAGTCAAATGAATGAAGGACAGCGGTTTGATTGGTCTGCAACATGTTCGGTACATTTTTGTGTATATACCTGTAGCAACAATTGTGTTTCTGTATAGAACAAACCGTTCAAATAACAGCATCATACCATTGGTTCGTCCAAGCGGTGTTGGGTGAGGTGTCATCGAATGACCAAAACAATACAGTATATGTTTGTTCAATGATATTCCAAACTATCCAAGTTCATTGCATTCATTGCATGCATTCAGGCACTGGGACTATTGTGCAATCGGAAAAACAGTACTTATATAATATTTGATTAAAATTGTATCCCTATAGACTCTACTCTATACAAAAATTTCAATCCTTCACCCACATGCGTCCAACCCGCGCAACCCCTTACAACGTCACACATATCTCCCGTAGCTCCCACGCCCCCAAACACACACACACACACTTGCTGAACAAAAACACCAAACAACAAAAGTGCCATCGACGCCTTGGCGCCCATCTTCTCCATAACGTCCGGGGAGGGCCAAACCTGCTTTCCGCTCTTGCGGAGCACGCGCATGCCGTCGTCGAACTTCTGCTGGTCGCCACCATCGGCTTTGATTTGGCCTGTCACAAGGCCATGAATCCCGCATTAACTGAGGTATCTCAGGATGTCCACAAAGTGTCTAAGGATGTGGCACGAACAACATTGTGCACCCAGATACACATTAAACAAACCCATTATCGGAATTTTGTGGAAACAGAAGATCGGTTCATTGGTGCCAAACTGTTCATACTCCACAACACCGTGCAAACAGGAGTAGGCCCAGCAACCCGCCTCCTCGAATTGATCATGCAACACTAAATAGCGATCATTTCACATCTGCGGGGGCTGTAGTGTTTGATCTTGGTTGGTAGATAAGATGGACAACAATCGAGGGTGTCTGAATAGAATCAAGGCCACCAAAAGTATTGTGCTGGGTGCAAATCACATGGGAGTTAAGGAGTCAAGTGACATAAGGATAATAGAATAGGTAAGTCCTATGTCATGCAAAAACGTGTTGGCACCCAACCGGTAGGTGACTATAGGTATTAGAGCAGGATGAGATAGGACTTGTGACACACATGCAGCCCACGCACACCTCCCTGCAGCAAACAAACTCTGGTATACAGTAGCTCTGCAACCTGTGGGGAGTTAGAGGCCGGTTTCCACAGCAATCCCAAGTCACCCATTTAAAAGCCAGCCTTGAATTGGGTTGCGATGCCTTGCATTATCTTGTTTTTGGTTCTTATTGCCTGATGACATGGGATATATCACAAGGGGTATAAATAGCAAAAGACTTGGGAATGTGTGAGTTCCTAAGCTCCCACGCATGCTTTCCAAATCCCATGTCATCCGAAGGTAGTATCGTAGTAGTAATAAGAGTAATAATAACAGTAGCAGTAGCAGTAGCAGCAGCAGCAGTGGCAGTGGTAGTGGTAATAGTAGTAGTCGTCGTCCTGGTGGTGGTAGTGGTAGTGGTGGTAGTAGTGGTGGTGGTAGTAGTCGTAGTAATAGTCGTGGTGGTGGTGGTGGTGGTAGTAGTAGTAGTAGTCATAGTAGTAGTAGTGGTGGTGGTGGTAGTATTAATTGGGGTTGGGCATAACGTAAGGCAAACAAACAACTGAGAGGTGATCCTGGGCACCCTGGGTGTGTCACTGCCATACAAAGTCCCAAATCGCACTTCCTTGTCACACGGGAAACATCAAAAGTCAATTATGTGATAATGTTTTCGTATTGACATATGCAGCGCAGCTCGCCTGGGTTGCAGCGAACAATGATAAAGTCGAACGACTTGCAAAGTTCAAAGAACTTGTCATGCTCCTCATTGCCACAAGCAAATGCCACGGATTGCCAACAAACACACTACAAAGTGTTGGACATTTTGTATCACATGTGGTTCGCGCATCAAAACAAACCACTCTGGCTGCGAACTTCCTTGCGAAGACATTGTCCCTCAAAAGAGGCCATGGTATCGGCACGACAGCCCTCCTCATGTGTGTAGTGGATCAACTGACAGCTCATTCCAGCGTTGATCATGCCGTTCACAATCGGGATGGAATCATAGCCTTAGTTGCGATGGAAATTGCACACAGTTAAAGGAACGGCTTCGCACACTTCTTAGACAGGAACTTCATGGTTTGATAATGTTTTAAGGGCTCGAATTGCAGCCTTCTTTAGAGTAGTTACCTACTTCGTAGAGCCATAATCTGCTCAAAACACGTCTCATGGCAGCTGGGGTTCGATAGTTTTTGTTTTCACAGGGCGGAGTTCAACTCAAATGAGTTTTCTGCTGGTTTTCACAAGAGGTAGCTTCCTTGTCTATCACACGGCGACAGTTCCACGCAAGCCGCTTCATTCTTGCAAAAACCAAAATGCTCTCCAGATGCGGGTCTTGTCTATCTTTGAAAAATACACCATTCTCAGCAAAACAAGCTAGCGCCAACCCTTCTGTGCCATTGGAAGGGCTGTTGTCTTGCTTCCGCTGTTGTTTCCAAGAACTTACAACTTTTCAAACCATCACCTCAAAAGGGGGTGGCCTTTACGGGACAATTCTGGTTAATTCCTGCTAGCGCCGTGCTAGCGCGGATCTGGCGCAACATGTTGCTAGCAAACCTCTGCAGCACGAAATCCCTTCCAGCATCTTTCCTACAGGGCTGACAATCTAGCGCCAATCTAGCGGTTTTTCTAGCGCCACCATGGTGAAGTGTCTTAATTTCTTGCGTGCCGCATCTTGCGGAAGATTTGACAATAATGTCCGCAAAATACTTGTTGTCACTTGTTCATCAAAACTTGCGCGAAACTTTTGGCAAGTCTTCACATGGCGTTCGGAAGTCTTCGGCGTGTGATTGCATGAAAACGCACGAAGCATAAACGGCAAAACATAGCGCTCTCTCAGTGGCCTCTCCCGGCTAGCACTTCGCGCCTATTGGACCTGAAGCAGTAGTTGGGCATTCCTTCGCAGCTCCTTGCCAGTGCTCCTTCTGAGTCTGGAACTGAGCGTTCGTTGGTGCCACTTGCTGGATCTGCTGTTGCTGGTAAAGCAGCGGCTGCAAACAAGGTTGTTTTTGATGCCCTGTCAACGCTGCTACTGGCAAGTTGCGGCCAGGCGGGGAACTTTGGGCCAGCAGGATTGTGACAAACAGGGCTCTCAAGTGATGACAAATCACAGAGGTAGACAGGCAAGGCGCGGAGGGGGAGAGGGAGAGGGAGAGGGAGAGAGAGAGGGAGGGACAAACAGACAGACAGACAGACAGACAGACAGACAGACAGACAGACAGA